AAATAATTTTGTTTTTAAATGTTTAATATGTTGTCAATCTATGATTTGTATTATAATTAATGATATTGCGAAAGGAAAAATGGAATTGTATTAAATAATATATTAACTATTTATTATTATCATTTAACCATTTCTGCACCTAAAATTTACTAATAAAATAAGTAAATTTACTATTAAATAATTATATATACCATAATTATCATTTTACTTATGCTCAAATACGAATTGAATGAACATGAATTGATTCATTTGACACAACGTATCGAAGCCGTGGTTGTCGTTGTGTATCTCTTTTGAACTTTCAAGTGTTGAGTAGTTTTCATTACTTTTCAGACCCACCATTTGATCAATTTTTGAAACAAGTTATAGTATAAATTATAATAAATTTATTAATGTTTTTAGTTATTTTATTCTTCTTTATAAAAGTATGTGCGAAAATCACAAAATGTTACATATATTTACTGTAATAAAATGAACAATATAGTCCATCAAATAGTAAGAAAGTTGTTGATAATCATTTTTTTATAATTAGTGGATAAAGGTATAAAAACACATTTAAGATAAATAACACATCAACTTTCACTTTGGCACCATGTTTTTTTAATAACGTATTGGGTTGATAACAGTCATTGTCTCCATGATATTTTCAACAATTTTTATTGAAATGCACTTTTGAGCAAGCATTTTGGCTGGCGGGAAAAACCCGCTTCACTGCCATTTACTTGTTTTATTGTATAGAAAAATAACGTTTTTGGCATTTTGCCGAGTTTTAAAATAATAAATAATACGGTGACGAAAAACCGCTTTATATTTTTTGTCTTTTCTAAACCAAATTCTCATTGTTTTATTATGAAAACTTATCCAATAACCAAATATTGCCTTTTTAAATTGTGAAAAAATGGTGTGTTTTTTCTCGGCATACAAATATTTTTTAACCAAATGTATTGAATAACACACAAAAACACATAATAAACTTGAATTTATTCACCATACAGAAATGATTGCCGCACTTTCGGATCGTCCACAGTATCCTCCCAGTCTTTTTTATCGTTTTTCTGCACGGCGGGAAAAACCGCTTTACTACCATTTACTGATCAAATTACACACAATTATAACCAAAGTTTCAATTTGCCTCAAATAATTGAGGTTTTTGTGAAAAAAAGCTAAAAACACGAGAAATTATAACGGACATGTGCAGCGCCCTTTTACCGCTTCTGA